ACAAGGAGCATATAACTTGGTCCACATCAAAAAAAAAGATGAATATAAGACTACTTTTTAAACTATATATAAACATATCAAATATAATGTCATGCTTTTTAGTCTCAAAAAAATACATCAATTATTTTTCAACATCTAATGAATGATGTCTTTTATGAGTTTTTTAATGGTTTTTTTATTTTTTATTTAGACAAAATCTTAATCTATTCTACAAACACAAGAAAGTATAAAGTTCATGTTAATTGTGTATTACAAAAAATAAGAAAAGAAAGAGTATATTCTATAGTAGTCAAGTTGACTTCTTAAGATATATTATTTCTAACAAAGAACTTATGGTAGATCCTTAAAAAGTTCAAACTATTATAGATTTAAAAATTCCAAAAATAAATAAAGATTTTTAATATTTTTTGAGATTTTTTAATTATTATCAAATCTTTATGAAGAACTTTTTTCAAATTATAGTTCCTCTTACATGTTCGACTTGTAAAAACAAACTTAAGTGGGATAAAGAAATTGAAGTATCTTTTGAATCCTTAAAGACAACATTTATTTTTGTACCAATTTTATATTGTGTAGACTTTTCTAAGATATTTTTTATAGAAACAAATATATCAAACTTTGATGTGGATATAATTTTGTCACAAATAGAAGTACGACATAAACTCTACTTGATAGCTTTTTATTCTAAAAACTTTTTAACAACTAAGATTAACTATGAAATCCATGATAAAAAAATTCTTGTAATTGTGGATTTATTTGAAGAATGATATCATTATTTAGAAGGTATTTTTAGTCTAATCATCATATATATAAATTATAAGAATCTTGAATATTTCATGTAGGCATGTCTTTTGAATCGTCTCCAAGCCCTTTGGACCATATCTTTGTCAAGATTTCATTTTAAGATTACTTATTAATGAAAAAAACAATAACATTTATTAAATACTATTTTTAGGTATTTTTAACTTATACCAAAAGAAAGAAATGTAGATTTTAATCAACAAAGAAAAATTCTCTTAAAGTCAAAGTATTTTTATCTTTGAGCAATGAAATCAATGTAGATTATTTATTCAACATTTTTCAAGTAAGTTTAATTAATTATGTCCTCTAATTCTCTTATTCATGATATAAAAATAATTCTTCTAAGTTTTATGATACTTCTAAGTTTGAGTTCAAAAATAATTTATTTTATTTCAAGGGATAATTATACATTCTAATAAGCAAAGTACTATAATGTGTTTTTTAAGCTCATCACAACCTTCTAATAATTAGACATTTTGGATATAACAAGATTTTAGAGTTAATATTGAAAGATTCTTAGTAGCCTCAAATATAGAAGGTAATTAAAGACTTTGTACAATCATGTAATATTTGTTCAAGATCAAAAACTCCTTGTCATTGACCTTATGAACTTCTTCAATTATTATCTATTCTAGAACAACCATAGTCTTCTATTTATATGGATTTTATCATGGATCTTTCAATCTCATGTTTGTATGATTTTATATTTGTGATAGTAGATTATTTTACTAAGATGGCACATTTTTTACCTTATAAAAAATCTATTAGAAGTAAAAAAAAAATAACTATGTTTTTTTTTATCACATTTGTTGCTATCATGGATTGCCCAAAGATATTATATTAGATAAGAAGATTCAATTTAGATCAAGATTTTGAAGAATCCTTTTGAAGATTTTAAAGATGGATATAAAGCTATCTTTCATCTTTATCCTTAAATTAATGGACAAATAGAGTATATTAATCAAAATTTAGAGCAATATTTAAGATATACCATCAACTACTAATATAATACTTGAACAATCTTTTTGCCATTGATAAAGTTTGTGTATTATAATATGATACATTTTTCTATACAACAAATTCTTTTCTTTATTAATTATGATTATCATTCACATCTTGATATTTTTGACTTCTTAAAAGTTAATAATCATATTGTAGAAGATATAGCAAATTTTTTATTTGAATTATATACAACAATAAAGGCACAATTAAAAAAAGATCATGAATGACAAAAGACCAATGTGGATGCTTATCGTAAGAAACATCTCTAATTTTATGTTGGTGATAAAGTATGATTATTTTGTCACAATATCAAGATTAACTACCTTTAAAAAAAGTTGGATTATTGTAGGCTTGAACCATTTTTTACTTGTAAATAAGTTAATAATGTTACTTATTGATTATATCTATCAGATTTTATAAAAATCCATCATGTATTCTGTATGGCTCTTTTTAAGCTATATAAGATAGTAAATATTTCAAAAAAAAGATAAATGCCACTTCATCTTATAGAAGTGAATAATGATCAAGAATTTGAAGTGGAAGAAATTTTAGATTCAAGGTGGCGCCAAAATAGATTGCAATATCTTGTTCATTGGTACAAATATGATATTAATAAATGCACATGGAAGCCAGCAAAAATCTTACAAATGCAATATAAAAGATTGAAGCTTTTCATCAATAACATCCATCAAAATTAAGATAAAGAATGGAAAATCTTTCTTTTAAAAGAAACATGATCTAGATAAGATAGCATTCTATCTTCTATCCTTGCTTGTAATTTTTATGTATTTTTGGTAATAAAAAAATGGAGAACCAACAACCAATAGATTCAATTCAAGAACTATTGTTTGTTGACCTATTGGATAAAACATTATAATTATTATACTCTTCAAGACAACATAATCAAAATGATGATCTTCAAGAATAACATATTTTTTCTCAAATAGATGTTATAATACAATGAATTTTGGTATTATGACTTTGGAAGAAACTTCCAATATTTGATGATTTTATTAGAGGTAGAAACGACTCTTGATAATGTTTCAAATATTTTATTTGAAAGGAGTTATAAAAACTTCAACAATGATCAAATAATAGGATGGTATTTTTTTCTTAGTATAGGATACTATTAATAGCTGAGAGAACCTATCAACTATCTTTAAAAAAAATAAAGAAATAATATTCAGCAAATATAATTTGTCTCATCTTAGATTTCTTCAACATATAATGGCCACTTCTCATGGAACTCATACCTAGAATAATAGAAGTAATGTCATGAATATACATATTTATTCCAATAATTAGTTATATGATTAAGTAGAAGTAGGTAAAAATAGATTAATTTCATAATATCTCTTAAAAAAGCTTCTTAGAAGCTCTATAGATTCGACTTTGACTTTATACATGTTTATAGTTAATTAATAGATTAGAAACTTGGCTAAAAAATTAACCACATCTCACATGTATTGGTAGCTTGTGGAACAAGCTAACTATGTGGTTCATACATAGAAAATTTGCCTTACAAATTAAGACATGTATTTTACAAAGTCAAAACGTGTTGGAGGTCATATAAAACATTACCATGTAGCTTCTAATTAGATAGTATATATGGAGATAAGAATAAAGCCTTCTTCATTCTTGTCAATACTTTTCTTATTCTTAGTCTAGTTTCAAGAGTCTATGCTCTTCTTGTCTTTGGCAATAGCCATTTTAGTCTTAATATTATATTACTTTTGAAGTGAATATTTATTCTTCATAAGTTAGATGAAAGTATTTCAAAATTCTTCTTGTTTTGATTCATGTCCTTGACAAGTGATAAGAAGCTAATCCTTAAAGCTTATAAAATTGTCATCACTAATTTATTGAGATCATATAACTTTATGAATGTCATAAATTTGACCAATTTGAAATAATTAGTTGAATTAGTCTAGAATGTATGCAAGAGTATAAACAAAAATAACAATCTACAAGAAAAATATCAAAATATAATGTCTAATTGTGTATATATATGTATATATATATATATATATATATATATATATATATATAATGTCGAATTTATAAAATATTATTACTAATGTTAATATTTTAAAGATTATATTTTATAAAATATTATTACTAATGCGACTACACTTTTTGCTACTGTCATCACAATTAACCTCCTACTTAACATATTTATTTAATTATTATTTCAATAAAAAAAAATATTTATATTTCCAATATTATTTGTTAACATCAATCACTAACTGACTTATTCTTATTAACAACATTAACAAAGGATGTAGGTAACATGTGATGAATGGCAAATTGTGGTGGCAATAAGAGAAACTATGTTGTCATTAGCAATATCCTATCTAGAAACTATAAACTATGTTGTCATTAGCAATATCCTATCTAGAAACTATAAACTATGTTGTCATTAGCAATATCCTATCTAGAAACTATAAACTATGTTGTCATTAGCAATATCCTATCTAGAAACTATAAACCATGGTGTCATTAGTAATATCCAACATCCCATCTAGAAACTATAAACCATGGTGTCATTAGAAATACCCAACATGTAAAGGTGTATACAAGGAAAGTGATACACACAAGGAGTATACAACTGGAGCCTCAGTTGAATGGGAAGATGGAGATGGATAAAGTGGAAAATTGTAGCTAACAACTCAATATGTGTTTCATGAGACTTAAGCATGAAGTAGATTTGTGTGTAGAGCTGTGTGGTTCCTAAAAAAACTCTGATGACCCGGGCAAGCTTGTTAGACACAAGGGTCTGCACTGTGCCAATGCTTTCATGCCTGAAGTTACTGTAATAATGTTCTCCTCCCCCAAATATCCTACCATTATGTCTTCTTTAGCTTGGCACCCACTCGTCTTTATCAAAAGTCGTGGTTGGACAAGGGACTTTGTTTACAACTTCAGTTTCACTGCAATTATCAGTCGGAGTGAGGAGACTAAACATAGTTGAAGGCATGTTGCCCACAAGGAATGAGGTATACATGAGGTGGTTGGCTTGCAGTGGGATTTTTTCTGACATGACTTTTCAGATGATAATCCTTTACCACGGATGATGGAAATGATGTAAATAGTGTTACATCATTGTTTACACGGACGCACATGCTCATTTCTAACCTACACACATGACGTTTAAAACAACAATTCTGAATCTGAAGATCCAGGGTCGAACACAGAGATGATATATAAACAGGTGTCAGCTTCTCTTTTTTCATTTCTCAAGTGTCAAAACTCGTACTGGTCTTTTTTAGTCTCTTTTTTCCCTTTTTTCATTTTTGGTTTTCTTCCGATGCGCATTTGTCATGGAAGCCGACAAGCTCACTTGTTGAGTGCCGGTTGGTCTGTTAGTAACTTCCTGGTCTACAAGTAACTACCTACTCCATCCTCTGCTTCAAAGCTTAGTAGAGTCGAGTGCCATTCTAAGAACACTAACTAATAACAAGAGGGTCATAAGTATGACAGCGCACACAGACCGCTGACCTCTTTTCTCTCGGAATGAGAACAGACTATACATAAACGAAGAACAAAATACTTTTTTCTTTTCTTTTTTTTTTTAACAGATCGAGACGCCATCACATGAGCTAGAATGTACTCGGCATCTACTCTACATCCATTAGAACTAAATCATTTAGGAAAATTGCGGTTGCTGAATGTTACACCTACTCCTTCGGGGATCATGCGCCAGTCAACAGCACGTGGCAGTCTTCAAGAGTTAGTACGTGACAGGCCCTTGAAGACCGGTGAAGACTCCCTCTAACCAGCTCCAGTCTGAGGGCCTCTGCAAAATGTTGGACCGAATCTCTATCTAACCTCAAAACCATATTTGTTCACGGCTCTTGGTTACTTCGCGGTCCTTGGTTACTCCAGGGTCAGCGTTGGCGCTATCGATTTCACACGCTTGAACTGCACGACAATGAGAAAAAAACTTAGGACTCAATTCAACCTCCCTCAAAACTACAATCAGGACAGTTTTGAGCAGAGATCAGGCTGTAAATTGTCTTTACCTCTAACAGGCAGGAAATTAGTGTTGAGGTGATTTGCAGAATTGCGAAGAGCTTCGTACGGTCAGCAGCATTCAGCGTCTTTGAAAAATTCCGGGGGAAGTACTGAAGGAGGCGTCAACGTTGCCACACACTTGAACTGCGTGATCAGAACATAAGGTTAAGCCATGTACGCAGGCGAATCATGTCACTATCACCTAAAGTTGGGACCTGTCGATCAAGTACATAGAAATGTGGAAAACCAGTGCATACGGATGCAGAAAAAATACCTTATGATTTCTGTATTTCTCTCGTATGGCAGGAAGTGTACAATTCTTTGTGTTCCGCTGCAGGTCATGTATAAGCCTTACGCACTTCTCCAAGTCAGAAGCCTTGTAGCCAGTGTAGTGTTGCAGAGTCACATCCCATGGACGAGTCGACGGGTCGAGGGTTAACTTTGACATGTACACAGCGGACGCAGCTATCATAGACGGGAGAAAACCTAGGAACACGTACTCAGTCAGTGTGAGCTCCGCAAGAAAGTTGCCCAGGAACTCCAGAATTAGATTTGGGGCTTTGCAAGTAGCTTGAGCGGCTCTGATAAATCGCCTTAAGAAACTTTTTACAGTCGGCGTCGTCAATTCAAACTTCAGCTCCATCAAAACTTTCCTCTCCATCTCTAGAACCTGCTCATCATATTTACATCACAACAATTAGGGCTTGGAATTCGAACGAGCCAGATAATACGTTCAATAGTTCGTAGGGAAATTATGGCAAAGCACAACCAACATTATTGTACCTCTTCGCGTTGATAGGTGTTGTCAGTAATGTAGCAGAATTCCTCAACTTGCGGTGCACATATTTCTTCGTACTTGGCAGCAATTAGCATGCAGGACACTCCAAGAAGTTGAAGCCGTTGTCGTGTCACAATGTTACAGGACAGAAAGCGGTCAATGTAGGATACTGTCAGGTAGAGAGTGTCTGGAACTAATTTATATTCTTCACCAACCTCGACAAGCCAATCAATAAGAATTCCCCTCATGCTAGGATTGATGTCCTTTTGCATGACTTCCATGAAATCCGTAGTTGGTCTTCGCTTAATCTGAAAAGCAGGAACAGAGAATTATGTTATTTGAGACGTTCCCACTTGATTAGATTTAGAATCAAATTAAAAAAGGGGGACATAAAAGCACAGGAGGACAGAGATGGAGATGAGAAGAAGATGAAGAGTGACAAGATACCGAGTTGTGATCACTACAAATCGAAGGGATGAAACAGTCTCTAACCTCCGCCATTCGCAGATGCAAGTAAATATCTGCGGCATAAGTACTACACATTTGAGGGTCTGAGTGGTCGCTGTCTATATCTTCGAAGGCCAACCCATTCGACCAGGATGATTTCTCCGAAGGGCACTTGTCATCGAACAGGTTGGTTTGTTTCACCCGATCTTTGCATGAAAAGAGGTTATTAGAATTTGGTCGCTCTGAAGATGCATTCGCTGAAGAACTGTTCTCTGACTCGGGTTCCGAGTCAACTTGGGCAACCAGTGGTTGAGAAGGCAATGACGCCTCTTGCAGATCAATTTCAACGACACACAGTACACTCTTTTCTTCACGGACCTTTCCGCTGTCTTCGGGAACAGCGTTCTCATCACCTTCGAGAATTTGCATGGATTTTAGTTCCTGGCAATTGTTGGAGTCGAAACAGTCAACGGCTGGAAAGCTGGATAGTGCAACATTGGCCTGCTTTGAGATGTCGGTAAGGGGAGCACGCTTTCCATTCGGCTGCACTGTGCGCTTTCTGGGATGTAGAACGGTATGCTTGATGTCGTCCATAGCTGATCGTTTCGCCGCCGCTCTAGTTTGACGCACATTATTCGAAGGAGCTGCTGGTACTGCTGGTGCCGAAGTTGACGCTCGGTGACGCAAAACGCGCCTGCCAACCTCAGCTGCCATTGAGGGTGTCGTCGAGGTCTGAATGACAGTGGTTTATGGAGCTATACGAAGAAATCTCACGACTAAACACACATGGCGAGGACGTGCTGCTCCTTCGAGCTTCTGCCCCGGCTGTGCCCGTGAAGTTAAATATAACACTCACAAAACAATCTCGGTCCACTATTTCTCGCCTTGATCCCGCGACGGCGCCCAAACCCGAATCACCACGAGTCTCCAACTAAGCACAAAACCTCACAAAACAAGCTCCACTGTAGCGACGTCTCTCACATGCACACTTGCCCCGTTATGCCACAACAGAGCAACGCTACCATCACATTATTCGCTACAGTTCCGAACTCTTGCCCAACCCTACGAAGCCTATCTCTCTCACTCCACAGGTCCTCCTCCGCAAAATCAGAAACCCACTGTAAGACGCTGTAACACTCGCTCCAGCCCCGCTGTCGCAATGTCACAACAACAGATGCACATGGACACTGATACACACATCCAAAACGCTTCCAAAATCTGAAGTCCAATTTCGAACAAAGAAGTAAAAACCCTTTCCCACTAATTCACAACATGTTCCGGCTGGCAGGCATCTGGCCGCTACCTCGAGCTCGTGCAAGCTGTCACGGATATCCGCAGGTCGACCAATCCTTCAGCTGCCAAACAGTCTGAGAATCTACACACTACATCTGGGGAGGGCAGCGAGAAACATATACCCTCTGCACCCCGAAACTCAAAATGCCCCTCTGCTCCATGCAGCCGGGCGGGAACGGGAACCCCCCGCAAGTTTTCCCGCTTCCGTCGCAGCTCTGATGTATGATACCAGGGAAAGGGAAGGAACCAGTTCAGGACTTCATCACCATCCTGCTCCTACTCCTCCTCGCTCCTGCTCGCTCCTGCAAATTTCCAATCCACGGCGATGACGAAGATGACGACTCTCGCCCAGTCCCTGCAACTACGCCGCGCCAGCGATGGCCAAGGAACGAAAAAGAATCGAACTGGACGAACGAAGCGCTCTGACTCGCGCCAAGTGACCAGGACGTGGGCTGTTTGACGCCCAAATTCGGGCCTCGTTCAGGGGGATATGGGGCAAAATAAAAATTAAAAAATTAAAAACAAAAACAAAAACAAAAACAAATCCCCTTTGTGTACCTGAAAGTGTGATCAATTCTACCGAGTCTTCTATTTTTCTTCAATTTTGTGTCTTGCGAAATTTGCTCATCTAGGGGTGAGGCTAGTTTCGTAGCTACATCCTCGCTGATCCATGAGAGTGGCATAGCTCCCCTCTAACACCCAATTAATGACTGGTAAATTGCAAAAAGGGTAGTGACAACAAGGATTAGCAGTGTGGTGGCGGAGCCTAATTGGTGGCAATGTCATGGGCCATTGAGATTTGGTGGTGTTTGTGTGAGGTGGCTGGGCCCAGAAAAGCCTTTGTTTGGCAATTGGGCTGATCATACAATGAACAGGAACCCCCCCTAAAAACATCCTATTCTTTTTCAGTCATGTGTGGAGGAGCCCATTGATTCAATTGCCACTCCTTCATTATGCAATGAATAAACAAATCAACAAGCATGCAAATAAATGATGTCATTTGCTATTGAGGAGTGCTTAACATCCGGTTGTTTAGCCTTTCCTTCAATGTTGGTTTTTATTTTCATTTAATTTTATCCCCCCCCCCCTATTTGATTATTTTGGTTCATGAATTGCCTGTGTTAATGGGACTGAACCATGCTTTCAACACATTGATAATCCAGGTGGCTCATCAAGTGACCAGCCATCTTGTGCAGACAAAGCAAAGCAGCAGCACTTACTTGGATGAGTTAGTGACACTGAAACCCAAACACACTAAATGTTTGAATGAAAGGGGAACCCTTATGGGGCCCATTTGGGGTCAGTGGGAGGCAAAAAGGGACAAGAAACAAAAAAAAAAAAGACTATACTGTGGGTCTCAAGGAACCCAGCGACTAAATTGGGAACCTAAATTTGAGCCTGTCCTATTCTATCAACCTGCAAAAGGATGGAGGGGCATAGCTCAAATTCAAGCTGAAACACCCAATTCCTCTCATCTTATACTTGAAAAAGAGTTGTGTTCCTTCTTCTCTCTCTCCTTTCCAGCATGTCCCCAATTGAGTTTGGTGTGTAGTCATTGAAGTGGCCTACACATATCCTCTGCAAAAGTCACCAATAGCACCCAATGCTTGCTCCAATCTCTGGAAAATCAAGTTCTCAAGACTCTGCTCCTCACTAAATGCCACTTTTTTTTTGTGTGTGTCTGTGAGAAATAGTATGTCTAAAGAGCCTGATCTAAGCCTGTTTTTCAGGTTCTGAGCATAGAGCTTGCTTGATCCTAATGCAAAAGTTCATTACTAGGGAAATTTGAATCTGGTTGTTGTCCACATGCCACCACCTCTGTGTTCTTTTCAAATTGGGGATTGAATGAGGGGTTCAACCTTTGCACCAGATGACAAAAAAAAAAAAAAAAAAAAAAAACTTAAATGGAAAAGCTTCCAGAATATCCCCTTCATCCACAAGCTTCCCAGAGGAAACCCTAAAACTGGTGTTTATTTTTCTACCTTCCTGTATGGATCAGAGGTTCTGAAGAGAAGTGAAAGCAATGGATGGCAGTCAGTGTCTGTGTGTTTCTCACATGCAAGAAAAGAGTGTGTGAATATGGTGGTTGACCCAATCAATGCCGAGCCTCAGGGTTTTAATCTCAACACTCAAAGCTAGTTGAGGCAAGCTTGAATTTGCAACTGATGGAGAGGAAGTAGTGGTGAGAGAAAAATATAAAGCCAGTCAATGGGACACCCTGGATTCTTACACCAAAGTCAAACAATTAAGCAACTGTATAAATACTCACTTAGACCAACAAACTATTTATTTGTTTTGCTTTGCTTTGCTTTTGTTTTCTTAGACTCATGAGAAATCTGATCTCTGTCACAAGGGGGGTACCAATCTTCATGTACTGCCAATTCTCCCATTTTGATGGAAGCAATGAGATATGAGTAAGTAGTACTAATACTACATTTCCCCCCTCCTTCACCATTCTGAAGAGACATCCATTCAGGGTCCATTTTATCTTGCAACCCAACTAATCAGGTTACCCACTAGAATCTGCCTCATTGACAATAGAAAACAGTCAGTGCAGCTCTGTACTTCAAATAATCTCCCTCCTTCCCCCTCCCTACTCTTAGCCTTACCTGGCCTTCTCTTCATTGTTAGAACAAGAGGAATGAAGCCTGGTGATGAAATAATGGTTTCCACCACCACCACCACCACCACCCACAGGGGAGCATGGGTTGTATGAAGATGGCAGTTGGACAGAGTATTTCTACCAGATGAATGGACAGAACACATTCAAAATACCATGCATTCACAGAAACAAAGTGTAATGCATCCTCCTGATCAGTTGCTGTCTCTGCTTTATTTTTTTCCTATTTCTTGTCTTTTTTCACACTGCCAATAAATTCATGGTAATCAAATGCTTAGGCCTTTGATGGCTACTCCTCCACAATTTCAACATGGATCAGTGGAGGCCGCACACACAACTGCACACAGAGAAAGAGAGGGATGCAGGCCTGCAGTCCTTTAGCTGACGGCCCCATTTCTGCGCTGCCCTTCTTCTTGGTGGGGCAGAGCAGGAACTCTGAAGTGCAAGCTTCTAAACTACTAGAACTGCTCACTTGTACCAAAGCCTGAATCTGATCATAACCAAATGCTGATTAGTGGGGTCTTTACAAGCACAACAAATCAGGCTCAATGAATGATACATGTATCTGTTGACATACATATCTTATTCTGTTTGGGTATTGTGATTACAATCTAATCTGCCTGTATGAAGAGCCGCCAGCTGGGAGAGACTGAAGAAGCTGCCATGAGCAGATTCTGGGCCCATTAGAGAGAGAGAGAGAGAGAGAGAGAGAGAGTGTGTGTGAGGGCTAATGAGGGGAGTGGAGTGGAGTGGTGGGAGAGTATTTGGGGTGCCTGTATAAAAAACAAATAAATAAAATGAGGCTGCTCTTCCTCCAGGGCTGTCAGTCAGGATCTTGATCCCTCATGAGGCTTGTCTTTTTTGAGGTGACTGGTTCTTCATGGACGTTCCCCTTGTGCCCTTCCCAGTGTTGGCTTTCACTCTCATGAGCTGTTCCCCTTGCCCCCATTTGACCCCTCTCTTGAATGTATTCAACTGGGTTACCTTAAAGGAAGCTTGGCAGCGTGAAGAATATTTTGGTTACCAGCTTTTTCCATTTTTTTCAGCAGATGTGAAGGATTATGGGGAGGGGGGGGGGTATGTATTGGGCACTCTCACAATGTCTGTGAGGTGTGTAGGAGAAACAGCTTTTACACAGTTGTATATCTATAAAATCTGTATGAAAACTATACAAAGCTTTTTGCAGTGAGAGAGAGAGAGAGAGAGAGAGAGAGAGAGTGTGTGTGTGTGTGGACTTTGGTCATTACTGTGGATGATGAAGAAACAGGCCCTTACAGAGGATACCACATGATATTTTGTTTGACTTATGGGGGTTGCATGTTGTGGATTAATTGGCTTTCTGCTCTAATTCAACTCCTATCTGCAAAATGGGAAAGAGAAGAAAAGGAGATTCAAAATGCCCACTCAAGGAGCTGAATGATTAGCAAAGGCTTTGGCCAAAATATAGGAAAAGAGGCAGGTCTTTTTGCATGTCTGCTGCTATAACTTCCTTCATATCAAGCTGTGTAGGGCCCTCTCCCATCTTCACAACACCACTTGCTTACAAAAATCAACCCCATTTCTAGTGATGCCCCTCCACTAACTTGGCCTCTGGTAGAGCTGGCAAAGTTGTAGTGATGCTGCAGACCACCAATTATGTGGCTGGGCCTCTAGATTCCACAGTCCTTCCAGTCCCTCCCCAAACAGAGAGAAAAACCCTTACAAATCTCATTAGCTCTAAGCACATTGCTTTACTTTAATAACAGCCTAAATATCTTCTAACTTCTCTTTAATTTAAAATATAGGTCCACTTTGTGTTGTGTACTCATGGAAGAGAGAACAAAGATCATGTGTAACTCTTAGGGATTTTTGATTGGTGCTTGTGGCTCTTGAGTTTGGCTATTGTTAGACTCTGTACCTTGGTTCATGGGTTTAAGGTTCAAACTTCTGTACAAACTTGTTTGCTCCTGGTGGATATCTTTGACCAGGTTTCAAGGGGCGCTTTCTTCTTCTCCTTTGCATTGTTTGCTTTTTACCAAAAGTTGTGGAACATCCATCTCATGCTTGCAATCTATCTTGCATGTGTCCATTTGTGGTTGCATGAAAAATATATATATACATATATTCAAATTTGCACAAAATACTCTCATTTAACATTACAAAAGTGGCTTTCTGACATCCTACAGTAACCATATATATATATATATATATATAGAGAGAGAGAGAGAGAGAGAGAGAATTCATTGATACAAAAAATGTTAATGTAATATGGTGGATTAAGAACAAACACACAAAAGAAATATAATAAATTAAAATGAATGTCCTTCAAAAAGTTACACAAATTTTCGAAATTGATTGTAATCATATTCACATTTCACAAATGTGAATGTACTTTTTAGAGTTTGACTACAAATTATAAGCATACTTTAATGTTCCAATACAGATTGCATCAAATGTGGCATAAGAGAAAATTTCTGGTGAAACCTTCAATAAAAGTAATTGCTGCTAATCCAAACATAATATTTGGAGTCCTTATGTTTTTATTCTAATATCAATGAATCCACAAAAGAACAAACAAAGTCATTGACTTGCATGCTGTCAACTTGATGTTTATATATATATATATATGTATATATAATCGTAATAATAAACTGTTAATTATTTTGAGGATTCTAACGACACACCAACTTATTACCAAATT